AATACTTATCCATCTCTGTACGTACTCGAACCGTACTTCTGTCCGTGTTCGATATCACCAATGTCCGACTTCACTGTCCGACATGTTCGACTGTTCTTTTACCTATCAAGATCCCATTTCACCAACAATTGAGAGCATGTCCCATTGCATGGTGATTGTCACAATGGCAGGAGTGTGTTGGGATATGACAAAATATGAGTTTTTACATTTCAAAGAGAAACTATTCAAGTACAAAGTTTTTGACACGTACGATCGGACTTTGATCGTGATGTCGGGATTTGACGCAAGTATGCCAGACGCAAGTCTGTTGGACAATCTACATCCACACAAAATGGGAACGACCCTATACAAGTGAGATATCGGTGTTGTGAACGATGCAGTAGGGAATAATACAAGATGTCCCAAAGTACTGCATTCAACACAGAATTGTCGTAGAAGTCGAATCAAGTTCTGTAAACAAGGAATTTTACAAGGGAAAATTGTTGAACTTACTTTTGTGATTGAATCATCAATTCAAGCCAAATATTAATCAAATAGGAATAATTTCACTCAAAGTATACCTAGACACAGGAGAACTATTGTCGTGAAAGCGTTATACAGTCGATTACAAATTTAGATTGCAGAGAGTTTGTTCTGAGCGCTAAAGGCACTCACGATAGAGCACATTTTGCTTTATTCTAACAGTTTGGATATCCATCCAACGATTACTATTCTTGCCTCAAGAGTTCGAGAACCTACAGAGTCTGATTGGAAGAAGTGTGTTCGCATAATGCGATATTTGTTTTGTACATTGTTGTATCACCTGACACTTTCCGCAGAATCACAACGAGTCATGAAATGGATGATCGACGCATCATTTGCAGTGCATCCAGATTTCAAGAGCCATACTGGCGGCACTCTGTCCTGTGAAGGTTTCGTTACTAAACACCTTGATGTTGGGAGTTTAGGCTACTCCTACTTTTTTAAAAATCAAATTTGAATAGTAAACCAGCATAACAAATTCTTCCAATGTGCTGCGGATTATACATACCGCAGCATTGAACACTAATACTGTACTCATCAAAACAGCTTGGATTCAGGCTTACTTTCCATATGTTATACAGACCTGAATAGTCACGCGCGGTATTTGATAAAGTTCAATTTAAAATTGTTGTGATCCATCATTGTTTTTCCGATCTGCCAATGAGCGTCATTATGGCATGATGCACACTATGAGAATGAATAGATGATGCGTTATTCTAATCCGATGGATGTAGTGGTAGTGATGATCTAGGATTCTCCGGAGACTGCACTTCGCAAGTCCACGGGAAATACCATGGATGGTGTCCCTTCCGATGAGATGCAATCATCCAGCCCACAGAAACGATGGATCGGGTCGCCCTCTGCGAACACTTCTCGAAACAGAACCTTTGGATTCAACAAGGATAGCCGAGAACTCTCTTCCGCTTCATCCGTGTTATTGGGTTACGACGGTGACATCAAGACATTTAGTTACGACTGTGAATTCAAAACACAAATTTATCAAGACAAATTTACTTGACGAATAGATGAAGGAAACTGAATAAGCTCTAGTCTAGACCATTGATTACTATTATCTTTCCCCTCTCCTTTTTCTTACTGCTATCATTGAATTAGCGACTGCGAATATCCTCATGCATGTTTTTCATATACAGGGTAACTGCAGTACGTTTCCCTCTAAAAATCGCTGGACTTGATGTTTTCACGATGTTTGACTTGTCACAAGCTGGAGAAGACACGCCAAGCATTTTCTGATTGGCAGGCTTTCCGATTATGTTTGAAATAGGCAAGGCTGGCTCCATATTTGGTGAGATTTAGTGGGAACTTTATTAGTGTTCAATGCTGCGGTATGTATTATCCGGAGGTCCATGGAAATAAAACCACAATGCTATTGCTTCTCATTGTACTATATTGGAACTATCAAGGTGGGGCTATATCTACACGCATCCAACTATGCCGCCATTTCTTGCGGGACATCTTTTCTTTTCCATCTCTCCCATCCAAAAGGGATTTGATGGACAGGTTCATGAGTTTTCCGCAATTCTGAAACAATATTGCAATACTGAACTACGCGAGTTCCAAGCGTTTCACCGTAATTGTGAAAATTGATTTGCAGTAATGGAATGTTGGCCAGAAAAAATTTATTCTGAAGTAGTTGGGGCATCATGGTCCATTCGCATCCTTCACAATTGACATGTAGTAATGAAGGTGCCTTATTACCAGCTTCTTTTTTCGCATCTTCAAACGTTTTCAACACACCGAACTGAGGCGGTTTCTCTTCATCTTTCAACACAACTTCTACAGCGGGCGCGCCGAGATACGTCCCTTGACCATCTAACAAATTTGGATCAATTCGAAAACGCCCACTTTCGTTCGCCAGACCATAGCCATGAGCCACGTAGTGTAAAGGGTCGTGCGCAAGAGTTGTGACAAGTTCATCGAAAAATAGAGGCACCGGCTCAAAAGCGTGGAATGTACAATGTGGGTACTGTTTTTTCATTTTTTGACTATCGGCTGCAGATGTGTGGGCACCGACCTCCCAGACCGTGCATTGCTTGTCATTTTGCAGCAAAGGAATATCACTCATCCGAATATTTTCGTTCCATTTACCATTTTTCGCCAAATAATGATGGGCGTAGACAATATTCAGCTGATTGGGGTTTTTTTCATAACTCCGGCCTTTTCCGATGGGAAGATTTTCCAATGCTTTGAGGAGACAATCGAGCATTCCCTCCATCTCGTTGATTGTATTCTCAGATATGTTGATGTCGTTGCCGCCCACGGACAGGTACTCGTGCTGAAGAAATATATTAAGTCCAAGAAAGGCGAATCCAAAAAATGGCAATCCAAAACCCAAACATCCTCGTTTAATTTGTTTCATATTGTTTGTACCCATCAACAAAGCTGACACGTTAAAATGCGCTGCTAGTCAGCCAAACCAGATCAATTACTGGACGGAAAAAAAGACAAGCAGGACAACTTGTGACTACCAGACCCTTTCAGACTACAAAACCACACGTACGGAGGACAGGCCACGTGCTTCCCAAAATAATGGTCCCGTTGACTTGATACAAGAATCAAGAAATATTGTAACAATAACATAAAATGCAGTGTACCTCTCGTGGAGGACGCCCAAGCCAACATAGTCCAAGGATGACCATGCCCACTGAAAGCAAAGGCGATTCATCGGCTTTAGTGTGGAGGCAGACCAAAAAGCACATTCAGAGCTTTGATCGCTACCACTCTTGGAATTTTGTCTTCTTCATACATAATAAACTCCACCAGACGAGCACGTTCTCTACCAGTATGAATCATCGTTAACATATTGGCAAGATTTGTTTTGGTTCCTTCCCAAGCAACTCCAATAAGATCACTTGCACATTTCAAACAAACATAATGCTGATAAGCAACAGAATCAGATTCCGGGCGACTTGTGTTGATCACAACAGAGTTGATATCAACAAGAGTATGGCAATGGCCATCATTTGGTATGCCCATCATTTGCAATTTGTATACTAGACCTTCAACCAATTCAACACCAGTCTTCAATGCAGCAAATTCACTTCCAAAAGAACTTGTTTTGACAGCATTCTGCTTCTTCGAATACCAAACGATTGGTTCATCATTTAAGGGGATAAGAACACCTGTTCTGGATTGACGTGTAACAAGATTGGAAGCATGTGAGGCATCAACAAACACCACAATCTTTACTGCTCGTCCAAGGGCTTCTGGCATATCAGGAGGCAGTACTTCTTTTGCCCATGGATAGAATTCATGCCATTCAGATTTTGGTATGTCGGTCAGAGCCATATATGCCGAATCCATGACAATCTCGCAGCTTGGATGTGTTTCAAGATAACCAAAAAGGCGTAATACTGCATGAAAGTGTCCAACACAAGGCATGGCATTGTACAAAGACATCATTGAGACTTCAGCACAAACGTCCAATCTTCCAAGCTCAACTAACCACCGTAATATTCCAATCAGTTGCATATACAGTGTGTGTGTCTCTGCGTCAACAAAATCAGTGTTGTCAAGCTCAGGCTTATTACCAGAAGGTAAGGCAGCAGACACGTTTCTTTTCAAATTCAAATTGTATTTTTGATGTGAGATTCAAGACTTAACGACACATAACGCTTCAAGCAATCGACCAGCATTTTCGAGAATCACTAGGATCAACAAAACGTTTTGAAATTGTTGCACCAAGGAATGTTGTAGGCTCTGCAATTGAATCAGGCTTGAGCATGTGATGCGTTCCAAGCTTCTCAAACATAGCACAAGGATTTTCAGAAACAGCCATAAGGTCAACAAAAATATATTTGAAATATTTTTTGCAGTTTGACTTCAAAGCGGGTTTTCTCCAAACATCCATATCAGCACGACACTGTTCGAACTCCATTTCTTCTCTCAGAGTCTTAGAAAGCGTAGATCTCCATGAGAACCCGGAAGATTTTAATCCATAGAGTGCTTTCTCCACAACAGCAGTGCAACCCTCAAGGTCTCTGAACTCAGGTCCGAGTACTGTGTAAATCTTCTCAGCATAAGGCGCATTCAAATACGCTCCAGCAATGTCAGCAGACAAAATATCCAAACTGTTTAACAAAGCAAGCAAGATTCCAATACAAATACTCTCACAAGTGACAACACTGGCATAGGTTACCGAAAGAGGAGGACCAGTTTGGTCCCCTCAAGCACATATCCGGGCCTTTCGTGTGAGGTCCATCTTGACATCAAAGACAGTCATCAAGTCAATACAAGTATACCCAGGGGGAACAGGTACATTTGGTCCCAAGATTCTGAAGGCAGGCAACACAGTTTTAACTTCCTTTTCAATAGCATTTCCCCAATTGTTAGAATAAAGCAAAATGTGCTCTATCGTGAGTGCCTTTAGCGCTCAGAACAAACTCTCTGCAATCTAAATTCGTAATCGATTGTACAACACTTTCACGACAATAGTTCTCCTGTGTCTAGGT